AGGGAGGCGGAAAGGGAAGGGGGAGGAGAGCACAGAATCGACTCGAGAAATCGGATCGGCGATCGAAATGCACCGGGTCGACGGAGATCGACGGCCGAGTCGGGAAAAGGCGAATCGGCAGACGTCGGCAGGCTAGTAGGCCTCCACTGAAGAATCGGAGCCCAAACCGGAATGCGCAATCGAATCGAATCGGGAATCGAAATCGAATCGAATCGGAGGAATCGAAACGAGCCCAAGGGGAAGGCGTACTTTTGGTTGCCTGCCGTGCGGTGCCTTCGGCGGCGAGCCCAGGGGGGGGTGGGGGGGGGGCGAAAGCGGGCGTTCTCAGAAAGCGGCGGGGCTTCTTAGAAGACCTCGGCATTCTGCGAACCGTCTCTATCTTCGGGCTTGGGAGGCTTGCTTTTCAAAAGAGCGAGGTGCTCTGAGAAGCCCCGCCGCCTTTTGAGAAGACCTGCTGCCCCCTCTCACTTGCCCCTCCCAGGCTTGAAGCCAACGCATTAGCTCCACATCGACAAGAAAAGAGACATGCGCCAGCTCCACATCGTGAGCCCTGCTGGCCTCCCGGGACACTTCTGCGGCAACTCATGGGAGCTTTCCATGTCTTATTTGGCTCTAACGAATCGGCGCTAATCGACGCTCTTCGACGCGAAACCAAAACTATCTTCTCGATGACCTGGCGCTGATCGACGCCGACGCACTCTACTCGAAAACCAACAAACGCAGAACCATAAAATTCCGAAGGTCCGGGCGGATTTAATGGATCAGCGCTGGGGCCTCCCAGGGCGGCGCCAGCGGCGCCGCCCCTGGTGTCAGCGAGGGGGTCCACCGCCGATAAAAGAAATCCGCGCCGATTCCGAAAGTTTGTGTTTATGTAGTTTTCTGACTTGCTGCCGAAGCACTTCATGGGCGCAGGTGCTCAGTGGACCCGCTCGCCAGCAGCGCCATGCTCGCTCCTAGGGCAACAATCTTCGCGTTTAGTGCTCCACGAGGCGCGATATTCTTCGCGCTCTCGCGCCGCCCCCCCGGAACAGGATGAGGGACTCGCGCCTCGATCTGGAATCGCCCAGACCGCAAAACGCGACTGCCGTCGCGCTTTTCGCGCCGCTCCCCCCCCACCCACCCACCCGGACCAGGACCGAGGAACTCGCGCCTCGCTCTGCAATCGCTCAGACAGCGAAGCGCGAAGCGCGACGAATTCGCACCCTCGTGGTGGCCCCAGTCGCTCCTGCCCCTGCCTCCCTGGGGCCTTCCTCCAGGACGAGATCTTCGTCGTGACTTGTTCTCGGCCGTTCCCCGGGCCCGTGGAGGGCCCGTGGAGAGCCCGAAAACGGCGAGACGCCTCAGGATCCGTGGCCCTCAGGACCCGTTCCTCCATGGCGAGACTGGCTGCCGAAGGACTCCGTGGCCCCAGAAAACTCCAGCATTCCAGAAGCCCCACATGAGGTGCTGAAATGAGTTCGCCTTCTCACCTTTGCAGGTTTCCGCTGGACCTCGTCGGCCTCAGGGTGGCCCCGAACTGGACCACGAAGGCCCAGAAAGTGGACCAGAAACGCCCACGATGTCCCAAGAGTACCGCCACAGACTCCCATGAGGGCCCCGAAAAGGCTGATTAACAGTACCGTCTTTCATAATGGCACGACAAACTCACTGTGGTTCAGAAACTTCAGGACTGCCGCGGTTGCGGGCACTAACTGTCCTACTCTGCCTATGTTGTGCTAAGCTGGGTTTGCCAGCATCAACCCAATCCAACTCCGACTCGTGATGAACATTCGATCAAATGCCCTCGAAGACTCTGACCGAATGACTCGAGCAACACCAAGCAAACATCAAGCGTGTCACATGGTCACACGCATGGGTATCATCGTCCTCTTCTTCCTCCTCCCCCTGCTCCTGCTCCTCCTCCTCCTCCTCCTCCTTCTTCTCCTTCTCCTCTTCCTCCTGCTCCTGCTCCTGCTACTACTCTTCCTGCTCCTCCTCCTCCTCCTCCTCCTGCTCCTCCTCCTCTCCATCCTACCCTCAAAATATATTCCCTTCTCCTCCTCCTCCTGCTGCCCTGCCCTCATCCCCATCCAATGCCCGCGAACTGCGCTGGTGGCGCATACGAGGATTGGACCCATCGACTCTTTACCTCCTCCCCCCTCCTCATCCACCTCACCTTGACCCCCCTGACTACTCATCCTCCTTCCTCCTCCTCCCCCTCCTCCTTCCTCCTCCTCCTCCTCCTCCTCCTCATCCTCCTCCACTTCATCCTCCTCCTCCTGCTCCTCCTCCTCCTCCTCCTCTTCCTCCTCGCCACTCGGGCGGCTGGGGAGCGCGCGGCACGCGGGGAGGCAGCCTCTGCCCGCCATGGCCGCCTCCTGACCGCGCCGCCGGGGCTCGGGATGGGACGGCAGAGAAGCGCGCCAGGGGCGGTGCCGGAGGCGCCACCAGAGGGGGCCCGGTATGGAGGTATGGATCCAAGCTATCCGCGCGGAGCGCCAAAAGTTTCTGTTTATGTGTTAAAATGTGTCCATACGTCTGTTAAATTCGCTGCTCTCGTTTTCTGGTGGATGTCTCAAGCGAAATGCTTATGTGTGTGAAAGACGGTGTTGCGAACAACTCATGCTTTTAGGATGTATCGAGCGAAGTTCGCATTTTGAGGAATCTCGAGGGCGCTCTTGGGGTCATGTTGGGGCTCGTTTGGGGCTCGTTCGGGGCCGTTTCGATGCCATCAAAAACGATGCCAATGCGATGTCACTCACATTTCTGTTTTGAAGATGTCCGTAGCGAAATCGTCATGTCAGAAGACTGACTCGGGCCGTCGGGAAGCCTTCTCAAGAGATGTTCCCAAGACGATGTTAGATCAGCAGTTTTCAAACAGATGCTATTTCTCTCTCATGTGTTGAGCATGTCCCTAGCGAAATCGGCATTTTCTGCAATATGTCGGGCGCTCTTGGAGCCGTCTTTGGGTCCTTTTGGGCTCATGTCTTCATCTTGACGCACTTCCAGAAAAATGTCACGACGATGTTGAAGATCTCATATGTTTGAAGATGTCCCCAGCGAGATGCAAATTTTCGGCCGTGCTCTTTTTTGCTAGATTGCCGTGCTGCCGCTCATTTTCTGACGACGTCCCTAGCGAAAGCGTAGTTTTCAACGTAAAGGGTAATACTACACCTCCGCCGACACCTCATTTTGGCTAGGGCGTCTCAGGCGAAACGCCAATGTTTACATATTCGCGAATTTCGCGGATCTCAGATTTTCGAGAATGTCTCGAGCGAAACGCTTTGTTTGTTAAACGCGATGTTGCGACGATCTCATTTTTGTAGAGATGTCTCAGGCGAGATCGCTTGTTGGGGGGATCCGCTAACGAATGGGCAGATGCAGTCAGCTACCCCATATTAGTAAGAGATGTTTGAATATGTCGCAGATTCAGCCAAAACGTCCAGCTCGCTTCTCGTACCTCCAAGACGCTTCCCGTCATCCGCAGCCCCCTGTTGGCTTGCCACAGGGCTGCCAGACGTGCCAGAGCCTAGACGGTTTGGGTTATTCTAGAACCCCCCCCCTTTGGGGCTTCGAACCAGCGCGCCGGCCCCGCCGAAGGGGCCGCAAACTGCACACGTCAATGCCGCTCACGCCCAAGATGGCCCCACATGGCCTCCATGATGCCTTCAAGACAACCGAGATGGCCTCCGAGTCCACCTAAGATGGTCCAAGATGGCCTCCAAGACGGCCCAAGAGGGTCCAAGATGTCTCCAAGTCCGCCCAAGAAGCCACCACGACGGCCCAAAAGGCCTCCAAAGAGGCCCCCAAGACAGACCAAAAGGCCTGCGAGAGGTCCTCCTGGAGGGCCCGAAGAGGCTCAAGTCAGGACACACCGAACATGTTTCTGAGCGGGGGCACTGATGAACGAACAGCCACGTGTCTCCGCGCTCGCGGTGGGAGAAAACAACCCGTCGAGACTAAAACACAACTGCGAATGCAAGGGCACGCGTTGTAAAGAGGGTTCGGGGGGGGCGGGGGAAGCAAGAGACTAAACGTGCGGAGCCAGGGTGACAACGACGCCGAAAAATGTATGCTGCACATCCTTAACGTGCAAGCGCAAACCAGGAAACCCCGCACATTTTTCTAAGCGGGGAAACTGATGAACGAACAGCCACGCTTCTCTGCGCTCGCGGTGAGAGAAAGCAGCCCAAGCCGATCCCCAAATCGATTACTGGGTCCAATGGACGCGTCTCGGTGGCGAGCACAATGAGGAAGCGAGAGGGGACAAGCCTTCTCAAAGGCGGCAGGGCTTGTTAGAAGCCCTCTGGCCTTCCGAGAAGTTCTTGGAACCTTCACGAAGACAGAAAACCTCTCAGAAGGCGCGAGGGTTTCTGAGAAGCGCCACCGCCTTCTGAGAGGGCCTGCCCCTCCCACGCCCCCTCTTCCAGACATCTGCCGCTCCAATTTGCTCGATGCGTGGACCCCTGCAGGCCTTGACAACCTCCCTCAGGGCCGTCGACGGCCCAAGAGGCCCGCTGAGCGCCCCCCATTGAGCAGGGACCAACCGTCCCGGCATTCCTGTAGTCCTACCACGAAATGTTCCTAGAACCCAGCAAGTTTCTAAGAACAAAACAACGGGTCTTAGGAACAAACTATGTGTTCAAACAAGACAGACTCCGCCAGGACGCTTCGCCACTGCTCGACCCCAGACCGAACGGAGCCGCACAATCCGGCCGCTCCAACTCCTGCGGAGCCTCCGAGCTGTGGGCCGGCCCCGCTGCCGAGCGTCGGAGGCGCCGCTCTTCGCGCGCTGCAGCGCCGCCCCAAGGGGCCCGGCGCCGGTCCAAGATACAATCGAGGCGCTGCCATCAGTAGAGGAACAAAAAATGACATAAACATAAAAACTCGGAGGTCCGCGCGGACTTTTCGGATCGGCGCGGGGGCCCCTGGCGCGCTCCGCGCGCCAGGGAGGGGGGTCCAGCGCCGATCCGAGAAATCCGCGCGAACCTCCGAGTTGTTATGATTATGTCACTTCTTGTTCCCCCAATCTCGGGAGCGGCCAAGAGGGGGGTGTCCAAGAGGGGGGGGTGCAAATCATGACTGGCGGCATGTGCGCGGCCCAGCGGGGGGGCCTGGGGCGTAATGAAATAAGCAGAGGCGCCATGAAATCTGCGGAGATATCATGGCCGGCGCCAGGATATCCACCCCCCTCTAGTCATCACCACCCTCTTTTGAAGGGGCCTTGGGACACACAAATAAATACACACAAATAAAACGATTCCCCATATTTTCATACATTTTCTGGGTTTTTGTCTTCCCGCCCAATTCCCATATTTTACCATATTTTCTTAGGGACCGACGATGACTTGTGCCTGTGTGTTTTTTTCTCCTCCTGACCTTTTCCGCCCCCGATAATCAGGAACGCTGAATCGGGGGAGAAGCCGCTTCTGGGCGCCAGCAGCGCCTGGGCGCACGAGGAGCGCCAGGGGGGCGACCACGGAGGGGCCTGAGGAGCATCGACGAGCCCCTCCTCCGAGCCCCAAGCTTGGGCGCCCGAATTATCAGGGATAACTCGGGTCCGGGGTAACTCGGGTTTGGATTCCCGAAAAACGAACCCGAGTTAGCCCTGACCCGAATTATCCCTGATGATTTGGGGCTCTGGACGCCCGAGTTATCCGGGGTAACTCGGGCCTGGGGCAACTCGGGTTCGGATTCCCGAAAAACGAACCCGAGTTAGCCCTGACCCGAGTTACCCCTGATGATTCGGGTCTCTGACAAGCGGTCCTTCTACCAGCGTCTTGGCTTGCGCAGAAAGCATCTGTACGCCACCACCGTGCCATGCCAGGGCCATCCTGGGCCCCAGGATGGTGTATACGCCCTCCTGGCCGAGCCCGGAGGGTCTACACACCATCCTACGGCCCAGGATGGCCCTGATCTGGCACGGTGGTGGCGTATAGATGCCAGCGTCTTGGCTGACAATGCTCCGCTCTCTCGCGATGAAGCAGGGACCGACCGTCCGGCATCTCTACAGGCCTACCACGACACGCTCCTAGAACCCCCAACAAACACGTTCTGAGAACACAAGCCGTGTTCTCAGAACACTGACCCGATGTGTTGAAGCAAGGCAGCCCCGGCCAGAAACGTTCTGAGAGCAGTTCGTGCAGACCACAGGAGGGTCTTAGAACATTGCCTGGTAGGCCTACAGGCATGAAACAAGGCCGAGACCGAGGCGCGGTCGTCAAAAAACGATGGCGAACCCGAGTCCTGGCAAACCCAGGTCTTACGCTCCCCCGAAAAGGGGGGGTTTGAGAAGCAGCTCACGTAGCTGATTTCCCCGGCGCCTCCGGGCGCCGGAGGCGGCCCTGTATCGAGGAATGTAAAACAGGGCTAGGATCGGGATAAATCGCTCCAGAGCGTTCCGGAGCGCTCTCAGAGCGTTCCGGAACGCTCTGGAGCGGCCGCGGCGCCCAATACATCCTCCAAACCCGCCGATTCTCAGAGATTTCGAGTTATCCCGATCCGATTTTGTCCCGATCTTCGCGTCGTTTTAAGGCACGCCGGGACGCTTCGCCACTGCTCGACGGTCCTCTCGCGTGCCCGGCCTCCCCTGACGCGGAAGGGCCCGAGGAGCCTCGGGCCCCCTCCTGGACTCGGGCTGCTCCTCTTGTCCGCGCCTCGGCCGCCTCGGCGCGGACCTCCGCGGTCGCAGATGGCCGAACGACGCGGCGGCCAGTTGTCCCCCAGCGGTTTTCCTCCTCCTCCTCCTCCTCCTCCTCCTCCTCCTCCTCCTCCTCCTCCTCCTCCTCCTCTCCCTCATCCCCCTCGTCCTTCTTCGCCCGCCGCCGCGCCGTCCTGGAGGTGCAGCGGGGCGTACTCCGGGCTGTCCTCGCGCCTGGCGGGGGGGCTGGCCGGGTGCGCGCGCAGGGCGGGGGGGGAGCGGGCGACGTGGCAGGTGGCCAAGGAGGGGCAGGGGCCGCACGAGCCGCCCGCGTCCGTGTCTACCTCGTCCTACCTCGTCCTCCTGCTCAGCAACGCGCTCCACATCCTGCACCTCCTCCTCCTCATCCTCCTCCTCGCCTTCGTGCTCGTCACCGTGCTCGTCCCCGATCTCTGGCTCCTCGTCCTCGGCTTCCGCCTCGTCCTCCTCCTCCTCCTCCTCCTCCTCCTCCGCCTCCTCGTCCTCTACCTCCTCCTCCTCCTCCTCCTCCTCCTCCTTCTCCTGCGTCTTCCTGTTTCTCCCCGTCCTCCCTGGTCCTCCCCGTGCGACTCCCTCATCCTCCCTCCTCGTCCTCCATTTCCCGCCCCTCGCCATCCATCCCCCCCCCAGGTCTGACACCCAGCATCCTCTCCGAACGGGCTCCTACCACCACCACGCCCTCGTGAGCGGCAGTGCCCACGCAATCCTGGAAGCTTCCTGCTCCCCCGGGAGGGTGCTGCAGAAGAGGACGCGTTGGAGGTCCCTGGGGGGGGCAGCAGTGTTTCCAATTTGGACGCCCGAACTGGGTACGGAAAAAATGCGCACAATGCCCAACAACAAATGTTGTCCCAAACCAACAGCGGCCGCTGTTGGGCAGGCGGCCGTCTGTCTCAAATGTACACAGGCCGCGGCGACACCGACAGCGAGTCCTGTTCAAAATGAACAGGGACCGCTGTTGGCCATTGTACCCATTCTTTCCGTACCCATTTCGTTCGTGCCGATCCAAGGCCAAATCCCAATACGCTCGGCCTGCACGCTTGATCCGTCAAGGCCAATCCCTACGACCCCCATTCGCAAGAAGCTCGGATCTGAGTTTTGCTCTTACCAACGATTGGGCTGCTCAGTTTTGCTCTTACCCTACGAGCGTTGCCCCCCCTCCGTCGCCCCGGAAACACAAATCGCGTTCGCTGCCCCTCAGCGAGCCTCGACAAATATGATTGACAAGCGGACAACACACACACACACCCATACCCACAGGAGGGTCGGAGGGAGGAGGACTGGCTATGCGTATGGGTGCGGGCTGTCGGACCGCGGGGGGCCTCCCGTTCGAGCTGGGGGCCCCATCCGAACGCACGCACCCCATGGCCCCCTCCGTGTGCTGCTCCCTCGTTGCGAGCAGAACACGAACCGAGGGGGCCCTGGCCGCTCCGCGGCTCTCCCTCCCTCCTCCCGCCCCGCGGCCGCTCCGCCTCTCCTTTCCACGTCCTGCCACAGGTGAGTTCGCGCTTTGCGCTGCCCAGGCCGCTCGAGGAGCGCGGCGTTTCTTTATTGCCGGCGATATAAGAAACATTATAGGCGGGGAGGGGCCAGGGGGGGGGTTATAATGTCGCGCCTCCCCCCCGCCGTGCGCGCGGCGGCAGTGCCGGGGCGTTACATTATAGGGGGGAGGGGTTGCCGGGGGCTATAATACCCATTATGCCCCAAGCACTAAAGAAACAGCGCTCGAGCGCGCGTGCGGACTGCCTCTGCAGCGCTGCGACGGAAAAAATGCTGGATTTGGTATCCCGTGACGTCTCTGGACTAGACGTCAGCATCCACGCCGGCGCGCGGCGCAGACACCCAGTCGCCCGTGTGCAGCACGCAGCCCCTGCTGAGTGCGCAGCCCTGGCGGAGACCCCCAGAGCCGCGGCGCGGGCTGCGGGCGCGCAGCGAGCAGCTCTCTGCAGCTGGCATGCGGCTCGCCCCCCACTGCCTCAGAAGCCGTGCAGGCCTCGCGATCGGTGCTCGGGCCCCCTTGTCGAGCACCTGAGGCGGCCCGTGATGGGAAGACGTGGGCGCGTGAGTGCGGGCCCTCGGTGGAGGCCTCCCGCATGGGGTCCGAGCAGGCGGGGTCGGAGGCTCGCGCCACGTCGCCGACGCCTCGGCGAGGCGAAAATCAGGCTCCCCACATCGAGCGGCATCGCCGATGCATCGGCGGTTCGGCGCGGCGGCCCCTCGGCAGCATGCGCTCTCAGACCCCGTTTGGGCTGCTCCTTCCCCCCCCGTCCGTCCCTGCCTGCCCATCCCCCTGGCCATGGCAAGCACGTGTGCCGGTACAGTCAAGCTGCCGCAAAAGGAACGCTAACCTAGCAGCGAAGCCCCTTCTTGGCGCCATGAGCGCCCGGGTGCACGAGGAGGGACAGAGGAACAGCCACGGAAGGACCCGAAGAACAGCGAACCCCTTCCGAACCCAGAGCGGTGCTTAGTTCAACGTCTTGGCTGTACATGTTCCACTCTCTCGCGAGTGTGCCAATAGGCACATCTGGTTTTGCCTTTGCCTAGTCCTCTAGTATGCACGGCTTCCCTGACATCTGGCGCTCCAATGCTCTCGATGAGTTGGTCAGTTGAGGGCACCCGCCAGCCGAAGACGGACAGAACAGCGGCCGCTGTCGGTTTTGGACAACATTCTTTCTCGGGCACAAAACTCATCTCGGGCGTCCAAGGGAAATGAGGTCCACGGCTCAGCAGGAAGGGAAGAGGAGAGGTCCTGGCCTCTATCTCTCTCTTTCTCTCTCTCTCTCTCTCTCCCTCTCTTCGCCCCCTTTCTCCTCCCCTCCCTCCCTTCCTCTCTCCCTCTATCTCGCCTCCGCCTCCTCCCTCCCTACCTCCCTCCCCCATCCTCCTCCCTTACCTTCCCTCCCTCCCTCTCCTCCCCTTTCCAAGATCGAGATTTCCGGACGCTGAAGCTCCTCCTCGCCACCTCTGGAACCCCTCACCAAATCCTGCATGCAAAAAAGAATCAGGCCAGGCGAAAGGGGGGGATAGCAAAGGGGGGGGGTGAGAATCAGCTCACGAAGCTGTTTTCCCCCGCGCCGGAGGCGGCTATGTATCGAGGAACGGGCCCCTCGGTGGGGCCGAAACCAGCTACATGCAGCAGATTTCGTGTCCCCCCTTTCCCACCCCCCCCCTTTCGCTCGACCCGAGAGAAGGAAGGAGGGCTCCAGAAGAGACGGGTCCTTGAGCTGCCCTGGCTTTACCGCCGCCGCAATTCCCCAACCCTTGCGCCCTTTTTTCGGGGCCCCTGGGCCTGCGCAGGATACCTTTCGGTCTGGTCCTCTCCTGCTTCACTCGGCTCGGTCCTACTACATTCAGCTGAATTTCTCGGCTTAAGCCATACTTGTCCAGCTCAATGGCCCATTAATCGGGCCTGCTAGCCCCTCGTTAGTCGTGTCAAGAAGGTCCGTGCCCCCCTGTGATCTGAACAACTTCCCCATTAGGCTGGCTTTTCATCTTGAGTCGTTTTCTGACGGTCCCGGGGCTCGTTGGAGCCCCCAGAAACGAAAATGGCAACAATCCGATTGCTCCAATTCTTCGGAGCCTCGGATCTATCTCTGGGTTCGAACACTTACTGGCCATCGCTCGGACGTCCATTCCCTGTGTTTTTGTTTTTTTTTCCGGTATTGTACGTGTTTTTTCGCCAAATGATCAAGGATGCTCCTCGATGGTCCTCGCAGAAAGAAAAATGCACACGTCCGAGCGATGCCACTCTTAAGACCAGGTCATTCCTGGAGCGTCCCACGCTTCTGCGGCAAATCATCGGAACCTACAGTGTCACCTTGCTGGCTCGTGTGGCTCCTGCGAGTAAGCGCTGACCGAAGCAAACCGACATCAAACTGACGCTCACATACGCTAGATCGGCGCTTTGTCATTGATAGCCAGACGCTGTCGCACGCGAATGCACTCCAAAGACGGACTGCGAGGACGTGCATTCGGTGTCCGTTCCATGGGAGCCTGTGTGGCGCCTGGCGCTGTCCGACTTGGGCCTGATCTGGACCAGACCTGGAACACATGTGGGACGGGGTTTGGACAAGACTGAAGGGGTCCCAAGACACGCAAATAAATACACACAAAAAAAATGATTCCCCGTATGTTCCTATATGTTGTTTTGGGTTTTCGTCTTCCCCCTCCACTTCCGATATTTTCCCATATTTTCTGGGGAATCGACGATTAATTGTGTCTCTGTGTTTTTCCCTTCTGAAAGACTTGGAGCAGTCTCGCCCCCTGACGAGGTAGGCGAGAAGAACGAGGAGAGGGAGGAACGGGAGAGGCGAGGAGAAGCAGGAGGTCCAACTTCGGCTTAACTGCAGGGAAACCCAAGGCTCCCATTATTCGGCGGCGAGCGAGGGGGGGGGGGGGGAAGTGAGCGAGAATGAGAAGGCCTTCTCAGAAGATTCGGAAGTCCCCTGGCCCTCTGAGAAGTCTGCTCAGCCTTCCCCAAAAACACAGAAAACTCTTCAGAAGGCCAGCGGGCTTCTGAGAAGCCCGGCCACCTGCTGCGAAGGCCTCCCCCTTCTCACTTCCCCCCCATACCCGCCGCCGAGTTGGCAGACATCGAACCCAGGGCTGACCCTAAACGGTGCTTTTCGCTTTCGTTTTGAGATCGTTGTCCCTCGCCTTCGTCCCGAACCCTCCTCTACCGCAAAACGAAACCGGAACGAACACGGCCCACGAAACCACCACAACAACACCGCTCAGGTGCAGCCCTGACGAACCTACGAACCTACGAACCGACGAAACCTGGCTATCGTTCCTCATCCTCCTCCTGTGCCTCTGCCTCTACCTCTGCCTCCCCCCATCATCCTCGGCTTCCTCCTGCTTCCTCTTCCTCCTCCTCCTCCTCACCCTCCTCCTCCTCCTCCTCCTCCTCCTCCTCCTCCTGCCTCCTCCTGCCTCCTCCTGCCTCCTCCTCCTCCTCCTCCTCCTCCTCCTCCTCCTCCTCATTGCCCTCCTCGTTATCCTCCCTCCTCATCCTCGCGCGTGGCCGACCCTCCCTCCTCATCCTCCCTCCTCGCCCCATCCCCTTCCTCCGCTTCCGTCTGTACCCACGAACAGGTGGAGGACGAGGGAGGGAGGAGAGGACGTACCTACGAAATCGAGGGAGGGAGGGAGGAGAGGAGGAGGGAGGAGAGGAGGAGGGAGGGAGGGAGGGAGAGGTCAGGGATCGCCCTGCTCGAACCTACGAAACCACCCGCGAGGCTGCTGCCGCACCGCGCGGCGGCGCGAGGCGGGCGCCCCGCGCGGATCGGGAGACTCTGCATGGGGGGGAATCCCATGGGGGGATAGGACCCCAGGGGGGGGATCCCATAGGATCCCCTGGGGATCCCATGGAGAGTCTCCCGAGCGGAGGCCCGCGCGCGCCCCTCTCGCCTCGCCCCGGCGTCGGGCGCCCGGCGCCTGCGCGGGCAGGCCCCGCGCTGGTAGGCCGGCTCCGGGGCCCGCTCCTCGGCGTCCTGCGGGCTCGTCCTGGTCGTCGCCGTCGCCCCCGGACCTCACCCCGAGATCCGAAGCTCCGACCAGAGAAGAGCCGCCGCAGTTCGGCCGTCTCCGGCCTCCTCCTCCTCCTCCTCCTCCTCCTCCTCCTCCTCCTCGGTCTCCTCCTCCCCCTCCTCCTCCGTTTCCTCCTCGGTCTCCTCTCCTCCTCCCCTCCTCCTCCTCCTCCTCCTCCTCCTCCTCCTCCTCCTCCTCCTCCTCCTCCTCCTCCTCCTGCAAACGGGGGCCCATGCGAACCCTACTCACCCGGAGGTCCGAGACTCCGACCCAACAAGAGCCGACGCATGTCGGCCGTTTCTGGCCTCCAGGGGCCAACCTCAGGCCGTGGATCTACTGGCCTGGGTCAATCCGGATACAGGTCGGTCGAGCTTTGTGCAGGATGCTACAAGCTCGTGTTGCAGGATCCTGCGCCCAAGCCCGGATACGTGCACCCCTGGTTCTGCAGGATCCTGCAAGGCTCGGCGCTCTGGCTGGCCCCCGTTTGCATACAGTGGAGGCCACCCCACAAGAAACCTTTCACAAGAAGCCCAACCCTGAGACCCCAGGACGTCCACAGGCCTTTAGCGTGAGAACGTCGCGCTCTCCACCGCAAGACCATCGAAACCCAGGAAACCCAGGGCACCCAGGAGGCAAGCAGGGTGTTTGTTGGCATGGGCCTCCACTGTAGACCCCCGACTATTGAGCCCCGATCGGGGAAGTGGTCCAGGCCACTGGGTTAGGCGGCCACTACTGGGAGGTCTTCGTCGGATAGACTAAACTGATTAAGTCCCGTTGGGGGGCTACTACGTCGGATTAGGCCGCGGACTAAACGGAATTAAGCCGCATCAAACGGAGTTAAGCTGGATTAAGCGGGAGTCCGGACACGGGCAAAGTCAGAATTTGACCTCCCAGGGGTTGCATCCGAAACTGGGGGTCCACGCGTTGGAAAAATCGAACGCCCGATGCACGGGTCCTCCTCGCCGCCGTCGTGGCCCTGACCTTCTCGCGTGGAAAAGAGCTCACGGCGGACGGCTCTTGGGCCTTTTTTTCCCAACCATCCTGTGGTGTTGGGTCATCGTTTTGAAAAGACAGTGCCCCGCGTCACTCCTCCTCTCCTCTTCTCCTCCCCCTCCTCCTCCCTCCTCCAAGAGGAGCGCCGCCCTCTCTCCTCTCCTCTCCTCTCCTCTCCTCTCCTCTCCTCTCCTCTCCTCTCCTCCCCTCTCCACTTCGGCACACCACTCACACGTTTCGTGGCCCCACAGGGAGCTCCACCAAGGCCCAAAAGGCTGCCTTCGCATGCGCTCACCGCACCCATTTCGGCACACCCTTCACACGCTTCGTGGCCCCACGGGAAGCTCCACCGAAGGCCCCAGTGGCTGCGTTCGCATGCGCCCACCGCACCCATTTCGGCAGACCCCTTACACATTTCGTGGCCCCACAGGGAGCCCTACCGAAGGCCCCAATGGCTGCGTTCCAATGCGCCCACCGCACCCAGTTCGGCACACCCCTCACACGTTTCGTGGCCCCAGCACCAAAGGCCACAGTGGTTGCGTTCGCATGCGCCCACCGCGCCCATGTCGGCACACCCCTTACACGCTTCGTGGCCCCACAGGGAGCTCCACCAAAGACCCAAAAGGCTGCGTTCGCATGCGCCCACCGCACCCATCTATGCAGACCCCTCACACGTTTCGTGGCCCCACAGGAAGCTCCACCGAAGGCCCCTGTGGCTGCGTTCGCATGCGCCCACCGCACCCATTTCGGCACACCCTTCACACGCTTCGTGGCCCCACAGGGAGCTCCACCGAAGGCCCCAGTGGCTGCGTTCGCATGCGCCCACCGCACCCATTTCGGCAAGCCCCTTACACATTTCGTGGCCCCACAGGGAACTCCACCGAAGGCCCCAATGGCTGCGTTCACATGCGCTCATTGCACCCATTTCGGCACACCCCTCACACGCTTCGTGGCCACACAGGGAGCTTCACCGAAGGCCATAATGGCTGCGTTCGCATGCGCCCATTGCACCCACTTCGCTACACTCGTCACACGTTTCGAGGCCCCGCAGGGAGCCCCACCGAACGCCCCTGCGGCTGCGTTCGCATGCGCCCACCGCGCCCATTTCGGCACACCCCTCACACGTTTCGCGGCCCGACAGGGAGCCCTATCGAAGGCCCCAATGGCTGCGTTCGCATGCGCCCACCGCACCAAGTCCGGCACACCCCTCACACGATTCGTGGCCCCACAGGGAACCCCACCGAAGGGCGCACTGGTTGCGTTCGCATGCGCCCACCGCACCCATATCGGCACACGTCCCACACGTTTCGTGGCCCCACAGGGAACCCCACCGAGGGCCCCATGGACTGCATTCACATGCGCCCACCGCACCCATTTCGGCACACCCCTCACACGCTTCGTGGTTCCACAGGGAGCTCCACCGAAGGCCCCTGTGGCTGCGTTCGCATGCGCCCACCGCACCCATTTCGGCACACGTCCCACACGTTTCGTGGCCCCATTTCGGCACGCCCTTTCACGTTTCGTGGCCCCACAGGAAGCTCCACCGAAGGCCCCAGTGGCTGCGTTCGCATGCGCCCACCGCACCCAGTTCGGTGCACTCCTCACACGTTTCGTGGCCCCACAGGGAGCTCCACAGAAGGCCACACTGGCTGCGTTCGCATGCGCCCACCGCACCCATTTTGGCACACCCCTCACACGATTCGTGGCCCAACAGGGAGCTCCACCGAAGGCCCCAGTGGCTGCGTTCGTACGCGCCCACCGCACCGCACCCATTTCGGCACACGTCTCACACGTCTCGTGGCCCCAAAGGGAACTCCACCGAAGGCCCCAGTGGCTGCGTTCGCATGCGCCCACCGCACCCATATCGGCACACCCCTTACACGTTTCGTGGCCCCACAAGGAGTTCCACCAAAGGCCCCAGTGGCTGCGTTCCAGTGCGCCCGCAGCACCAATGTCGGCACACCCCTTGCACGTTTCGTGGCCCTGAAGGGAGCTCCATCGAAGGCCCCGGCACAGCCCTCATTCTTTCGTGGCCCTTTAAGGATCGCAACCGAATGGGATACTCACACTTGCAGTACGCACAGCTGCATATGGTTGGGCCCTTCGCCAGGATAATTTACGGCCTCTGGGGCCCCTGGCCGGGACTGGGGACCGAAACATAACACGCCCAGGATGAAGAGCCAGTGCCCTGGAAGCGGTCTAAGCCTCTCGGGGTCGACACTGAAAACGATCACAACTTCGGAGGGTCTGGGTCCTCGTCCTCGTGTTCCTTCTGGTCGTCTTCGTCCTCGTCTTCGCCATCCTCATCCTTCGTCCTCAAGGTGGCAACAAGTAGACTAAATTCGTGCCCCATCGATTCGCTAAAAGACCCAATCAACGCTAGGCACCACGAAGGCCAACCAGGATGTGTCTAGCAAAATACGCGGTGCAATCTACGTGGGGCACTTCACTTGCCGAACTTGAAATTGTCAACTCCAGTGCTCGCGGAATCATCCCACCCACCCACCCGTAAATTGATTTGACGAACCCATGCGGGAGCGATTGCGATGAGTGCTTGGTGTTGGCTGGTGCATCTCTGCGGCCGCGCTAGCCCGCGCATGCTCGCGGGCGTAGCGGCCAGTTAGTTTGGCGCGACCAATGCGAATGCGGTGGCGCCGACCGCTCGGCACATCCCAGCGGGCACTTCAATGCGAGTCGGCAATTGGGGCGGGCGCGGTATAATTGCAACATCGACAACGGTAGACAGACACAACGATGATAATAGCGATGCTGGTGACGATGCTGACGGCGACGACGGGGCAGCCAGTGACGGCGAAGATGCTGATCACGCCGACGACGATGACGGCGACGACGACGGAGGAGTGAGGGCGACGACGACGACGACGACGACGGCGACGAGGGAGGAGGGACGACGACGACGACGACGACGACGACGACGGACGACGACGAGGGGGTGGAGAGCTCCGGCGAACAAGACGTGAGTCGAGAGCTTCTGGACGCCGACGACGCCGACGACGACGACGAGGGAGGGAGGACGACGACGGAAACGACGATGACGACGGCGACGACGACGCCAACGACGACGACGACGACGACGATGACGACGACGACGACGACGACGACGACGACGACGGCGCCGATGACAACGACGACGACGACAAGAAGGATTTCGGCATGCGCGCGCGGCGGCCGTACGCATGCGCCCCGTATGATTTTTTTGTATAAGGGATTGTGGCCCTGACAAGCGCGCGACCGATGATAGAGGAGTTCGACGCGCGCGCAAAAGTTGTTCGCATGACCGAACTATTGGAAAAACAAATGATTTTTTAGAGGGTTCGGAAAGCGCGCGCGGGTAGAGATTTTGATTGTTATTGCATTGTGTCGGGGATGTATGGTACGATTCGTGTGATTACACGACAAATTTCGACCTGCGCGCGCGGCGGCCGCGCGCATGTGCCCCGCATGGTATATTTTACAAGGGACTGTGGCCGTGGCAAGCGCACGACCGATGTTGAAGGCGTTCGACGCGCGCGCATAAGCTGCTCGCGTAACAAAGATTGTGAGAAAAAACATTGGTCTTTTAGGATTCGGAAAGCGTGCGCGGGTAGATGTTTTTGTGTTTGTATTTTCCCGAATATGTATGGTACGATTCGTGTGATTTCACGAAGCTCGGTCTCGAAATGGTTGAAGCCACCATGTGGTTGGACAGATTTCGGCCTGCGCGCGCGGCCGCCGCGCGCATGTGCCCCGCATGGTATTTGTCACCCTGCCAGGTGGGGCGCATGCGGGCACATGTGAGCGCATGTGCGCGCATGTGCCCCGCCTGGCAGGCGCGCGACCGCTGTTGAATGAGATCGACGGCGCGCAAAACTTGCCCAAAAAGCCAGATTTGACACGAATGTTGAAAACAACATGGGTTTTTAGAGGATTCGGCAAAAACGCGCGGGCATATGTTTCACCTTTGTTCGGTGAAAACT